GAATAAACGGTTATGGATAAATAACCATGGTTATCCGCCCGCCATAACCGTTGCTCATCCCTAGTCACATCCCGGCCCGAGCCCCCACCATATCCTGAGCTCAACTCCGCCGTAGCAATTTATTGTTCGTTTTGGGCCCCGACCACGCCTTCACGGTTTTGTTTCTGAGAACTCACACGAGAACTTCCCAATGGGCCACCCATCATGGGATTGCTCTCGCGCAAACTCGCTTAACTTCAGAGTTCTGATAGAATCTGAAGTTAGTGAACTCCCAAAATGCCTCGTGCTAGGTAGATATGGGAATATACATATAAGGCTTACATGATCAACTCCCTTGGGCGATGTGGGATGTTACAATCCACCCCCCTTAGGGGCCTGACGTCCTCGTCGGCACACTTCTGACCAGGGATTGGCTCTGATACCAAATTGTCAGATCTCGACCAGGGATTGTCCGCTTTAGGCCTCGACCACGCCCTCACGGTTTTGTTTCTGGGAACTCACATGAGAATTTCCTAGTGGGTCACCCATCATGGGATTGCTTTCGCGCGAACTCGCTTAACTTCGGAGTTCCGATGGAACTCGAAGCCAGTGAGCTCCCAAAAGGCCTCGTGCTAGGTAGAGATAGGAATATACATATAAGGCTTATAGGATCCACTCCCCTAGGCGATGTGGGATGTTACACAATGTCCTACAAATGATTGTTTCTAAATCAAAGGAAGTAAATCCCAGATCTTCTCAAAGAAACTAACATGGGTGATGCAAGACATGTTCACATTCCTCTTGATAGCAAACTAAAACTTAGCTTGGAAGGTAAGTCACTCCCAAACATTGACTATTATTAAAGGCTAGTGTGTAAGCTAATCTACCTTATCATAACTAGACCTGATATAACCTATAATGTTAGCATAGTTTAGTGAAAGAATACTAAGATATATATCTCAAGGGATTAGTTGGTTGTGGTATTATCATAACGAAATATGAAAGCACTCAATGGCTAGGGTATTGTGATGCTCACTAGGTTGGGAACACTATTGATAGTAAATCCACTACTGGATATTGCACATTCATTGGAGGTAATTTGGTAACTTGGAAGAGTACAAAGCAATAAGTGATTGCAAGGTCCAATGCTGAGGCTGAATACTGAGCAATAGCCTCAACTGCTCGTGAGTTAATATGGGTCAAATGTCTCTTAGAGGATTTAGGGATTTTTACATGTCAACCTATGTCTCTATACTGTGACAACCAGGCAGCAATGCACATTACCTCCAAACCAGTGTTCTATGAAAGAAAGAAACACATCAAAGTGGATTATCACTTCGTTTGTAACCATGTCCAAACTCAAGTGCTTCAACCTTGTTACATCAGAAGTTGTGATTAACTAGCAGATATCTTGACCAAACCCTTGGTCACAAATCAATTTTAGAGACTAATTTTCAAGCTTGGTTCTATCAATCTTCTGGACCCATCTTGAGGAGGAGTGTTGGAAGATGTTCTCTGCAGTTCACTAGTTTATAAGGATTCATGGATATCGAGGCTTTGGTTAACTATCGCCTTTTTATCCAGCATGCTATGGGATGATCATTGCTTGCTTTATAGGCTATCCTTATCTTGTCAACTTTCTTGTGATTAGTGATTTATGATTACTTGTAGATTACAATTGCCTTTAGTTAACTCCTTAATTCAACAAGTTGTTTCTTTAGGGTTTAGTTTAAGTCTAATAGCTAGGGCCATGATTTAAGGGATGAGTCATCATGTGCAACAACCTCTCTTGCTTTATATACGTTGTACATCCTGTAATATTTCCATGAATGAAATACAACCATACAATTTGAAAATCAACAAATCTCGACACTTAAGTTGGCAACCCTAAAGCAAGTGAATCTTGAATTTTAGCACTATTTTGAGACTCAAGTATTGTACATGAAACAACTTGCCATCAAATATTTCAATAAAATGGTGTCACTAAGCGCAAAATCTACATCTATTATATATTGCCCATGTCCTTATTGAGTCTCATGCCCTAGTGGTTATTGGGATGATGATATTTCTTACTACTGAATCGAAACTCATCTAAGGTTTTGAACTTTTAAACTTCATTACTGACTTTGTCTACTTATTGCCATTTACCATTTATATTGATGCTCACTCCACAAGTGTTTAGATGTTTTGCTTTTGTTCATTTCCATAAGAATCAGTGTACATAGCTTGATGGACTAGTCCCTGCAACAGTTTGTGTGAAGAACGCTTTCCTTCATGGTGATCTCAAGGAGGAGGTGTGTATGGACATTTTCCTTGGTTACACATAATACACTCATCTTGGAGTGGTGTGTAAATTAAGAAAGACATTATATGGATTTAAAATCCCTGGGCTTAGTTTGGTAGGTTCTGTATGACATTCACCCTAATTAAAGGTCATATTTTTTTCCTTGAAGCATCGTGAAGGTAAAGTAGCTGCTCTTATTAATAAGGTAGATGATAGGATTGTTATTGTGAATTATAAAGAAGAGGTTGAGAAATTCAAAAAGTATCTAGCTATAGGATTTGAGATGAAAGATTTGGGTGGACTAAAATATTTTTTGCTAATTGAAGTGTCTAGATCTGCAATTGGAATATTTTTTTATCCCAAAGGGAATGTATCATTAGTTTGTTAACAGAGACATGGATGCTTGATTGTAAGCTTGAAGATACTCCTATTGTTCAAAATCATCACTTGGGAGAATGTCTCAATCAAGTTTCTACCAACAAGGGCTAATAATAGAGATTAGTAGGAAGATTGAATGATTTGTCACATACATGGTCTTATCGTGCATATGATGTTAGTGTGGTGAGTCAGTTTATGGACTCTCCAAGTGAAGATCACATGAATGCTGTTATTTGAATTCTTAGATATTTGAAGTCTCCAACAGGAAGAGGAATTATGTTTTCAAAGAGTGGCCACTTGAGGTAGAGAGATTTACTATGCAGATTGGGCAAGCAATATTACTGATAGACTATTTAGTTCAGACGATTTTCCTTTGTTGGAGGAAATTTAGTTACATGGCATAGCAAGAAGCAGAAGGTGGTAAGTTTGTCTAATGCAGAAGCTGAGTATAGAGGCATCGCAAAGGGTAAGGTATTATGGTTACATTGTATTAACATGATCATGTTAAGTATGTTGAAGTGGATTGACATTTGATTAAGGAAAAGTTGGAATAACAGATTGTTAAGTTTCCATTTGTGAAGTCCGAAGATCAACTTGCAGATATCCTTACGAAGGTAGTTGCTTTTTTTTTTTTCCTTTCATATAGAAGGCAATTGCTAGTTAGGCATATTATGACTCACTTGGCAAGTTCGGCATGAGTAACATCTATGAACCAATTTGAGAGAGTGTGTTAACGTGAGTCTTACTTGATGCTATTGCATTCTATAGTGCCTTTATAAATAGTTTTCCCACTTCCTCGTAAAGTCCTTTTGTCATCTCTATAAATACCTCCACATTGGAGAAGAAGAAATGTTAGAATTATTTCATAAACCCTCATTCTATAATTTAGCACATAATTCACCTCCAGAAATCTCTCCTACAACTACTAATGATTGGGGTGGGTGGAGACCACTGTTCTAAAAATCGGCCTAAGCGGCTGCCTAGGCACTAGGCGGTGGAGGACCGATGAGATTTAGGCCAAAACGGGCCAAAAAATGTGGTACGGCCTAGGCGGGTTAGGCGGGCTAGGCGGGTTAGGCAGGCTAGGCGAGCTAAGTGGTGTCTAGGCGGTTCTATTTTTTTTAATTTTTTTTAAATAAACTTAAAGGGTTTTCTAACCTACTAAAAAAGAACATATTATGAATAAGTGATTTTCAATTTTGGTTATGGGTTTTTCTTATTTTCATTGCATTAGTTTATGATGATGGCAATGCCATGATGCCTTAAGTTTTAAGTTTTAACTTTCTCAAAGTCTTAATATAAATATAATTTTTATTTTTTAGAGTGTAAGTAGGCACTTATTGTATATGTTATATAATAAATTTAATTAAATTCGTTTAGTCGGCCTAGGCCCTACGCTCCAACCCACCGCTCTACTGGCGTCTAGCGTTTTTTAGAACCTTGGTGGAGACCATGAGAAACATTTTGGCTCTTAGCTAGGAAGAGAGAGTAATGCTTTCTTCCTTCAAACAATTCATGTATACTTGCTTTTGCAAGAGTTGGGAAGCATCAATTAGGTACACACAATAAGCCAAAAGCATGAAACACTCGAAACGTATTAATTTAGACAAAAAAAGCACTCATGGGATCTTCAACAAAACAAGATGGATTCAGCAGCAGCGGAAACAGAGGCTCCAGCTCTCCATTGTTTCTTCTTTTCCTAGACAAACAGGACAACCAGTCTCCTCAACAACCCCTTGACGTAAGAGATTACGTTTGATGGGCAAAAGATTATTGCAACACGTCCATAGAAAGATCAAAGATGCCTGCTCAGTTTAAAAGAAGTGCAGAATGGGTTTTTATAGGAAAGTTTTGAGTTTACTCCGTTAAGTACAAAAATAAAAAGGGGTCGGAAGTGAATCAATCGACCAAAAAGTTTTAAACTTAAAAGTGAGCTATATATGCCCCTCCAGTTATCATTTTTCTTTCTGGAAGAAATTTGAGAATCAAGAGTCAAGACACTTAATTAGAAGGAAGATCTTGTGCACTGTCATGCTTGAAGGAATAAACTGCTGGAGACAAAATCCAATCCTTTATATATATATATATATATATTTTATTTCTTTTTTGTTTTTTTTTTGAGGAACAACCAATCCTTTATTTATTAAAAGTACCTCAGCAACAGGATTGCATTATTAAATATAAACACTGCAAGTAATGGGATTGACTTATGCCTAGGCTCTAATTATTGTAAACAGAAAAAAAAAGTTTGAGGAATGGGATTAACTTTTTTATATGATTACTTCCTGCGGTTCTCTTTACACTACTTTTGTCTTGAAGAAGCATCTACATGTCATGGAAGTGATCATACTGGTATCGGAACCAATATGATCACTTTCGAGGAGGGGGTCCTTCTAGTCGGATATAGTCGTACATCACTCCTTCGAAAGTGCCCAAGCTCCTTGACTGGGTAAGATAGATGGCGTTGTTTCCTTCTCGTAGTTGATAGCTCGGTCCAATAATACTGAACAACCAGTACAAACCATGAATTCCATGCCTAGCTACGGCATTGTCCCTCCCGATTAGCCCTGTCGTAAAATGAGGTGGGAAGGCGCTCTGGTTGTTGAATCGAACCTGGTTCCAACACAATGTCAAACACAATTAACCATCAACTATACTAATGGTATGTCATTTGCAAATTGTTTAGCATTTTATGTTAAAACAGTACCTGAACTTCTGCATTAGTGGCTGAGGCCAATGCTAACTGGAGTGTATAATTTCCTGGATTTGTCAAATTTTGAAGTTCAAATAGAATTTTCCATGTTGTTGGTTCATACGTATGATTTCCAATGTTCCTACAGTGCTTGATTAGATTAGCAAGACACAAATTTAAAGAAGCATAGGCATTGTTACGTTAGGTATAACAAGCACCTTGTCACATGAGCGAAGAACCAATTATCACTGTAATTATCAGTACCAACGGTATAGATGAGATCCTCATCGGGGTATAAATCTGCATATCGTTCCCACAAGCCATATTGCCTAAACCTGTGACCAAATGAAATACATTCTAAATGTAAGCATAAATAATGAGTTTCTATATAGCTAAGCGGAAGGAAATGTTCTCTTGTTAAACGATTTAATTTGGTTCAGATTGATAGTCTGATGGCATATTATGTCAAAACTATCTAGCAAGAGAACATACTTACACCACGAGCAAAACAAAATATGATGGACATATGAAAACTCACTTGTTTGCATGATTGGTAGTGAACAATTTGTTCATAAGGGTGGGATTTGGATCGGGTACGTTAAACTCGGCCGCGGATCGATCTGGTATGCCAATTTCCCATAGGGTGAGACCATTTCTTGGAGGTACGTAGGTAAGATTAGCCAAATTGATTTCACTTCCTGCAAAATATAATCCAGGATTGTAAATATATACTTGTTTGCTGATTCAAATGTCAAAGTCAATGAAATATTTGCTTGCATAGAGAACTTACGTGGTTCAATTGTAATATTAGCCTCATATTTGTAATCCCCAATAATGCCGGGAACAGTTGCATACAAACTATAATTTCCAGGTCGAGCATCTTTGATAAGGAAATAACCTTGCTCATTAGCTTGAGTCCAGAACTGATAACCCTGTAAAAAAAATTGTAGCAAATTATAACAACTTGCATTTGACCTCATAATATTCACACTAAGGGGTCATGACATCATCTCCTGTTTGGTGCTTTTTTCGCGTTTTAGTAAGAACAAACAAGACTAGAATAACAAAAATGCTACCAAACGGTTACCATGTAACATAAGCGAATAAAAAGTAGTGTCACAAATTACCTTGATTTCCTTTTGCCATGATCCCGCATTTCCAGTTGCAGCCAATCCTACATATGCGGAACTTGCCCAGACATGGCTCTTGCTGATGTACCTAAAACAAGAAGAACGTTTATACTTACAGTGGAAAAAATCGAACCTTTTGAGGAAGAAAAAAGGGAATTGAAAAAAAATTGAAGTGTTGTTTGGGCCCAAAATAACAGTTTGGGCCGAGGGAGGAATCACTTTCGGCCCATGAAGACGTACGGCGAGAGGGTCATGGGGCGTTCAGCTCATGGGCTTCTAGGCCTAGGTCGGTTAAATCAGAATGCAAGTCGAGTCCTAATACAATAGGGACCCTCGACGAGATCAGTAAAACTAGAAGGCGAATCCGGCTCAGTTAAGGACTAGATTCGTAGTCCTAGCAGAGATAGGACTGATCGAGGTAATGTTAATCCGGAGAGGGAAACCTAGTTCGAATAGGATTGGAACTCGGGCTCGGTGTTCTGCTACTATAAATACAAGACATTCAGCAATGGAAAAGCCCCACAAAATCAACACAAAAATTGCCCTGCGCAAACTCTCACAACTTGAGATCTTTTTCTTTTCCTTTTTCGCTGACACATCTTCCGTTGGCGTCAACAGCACTGTGGAAGCAACCGGTGATATCTTAAGTCGGCATAGATAGCTCTGTCACCGTAGAGTCGGTCGGTCTCGCAGTATCTTCCGTTGGCATCAACAGCACTGCGGCGAGAACGGTCGATTGCCTATCCAAGTCTCGGTCGAGAAGGGTTTTCGAATCCTTGTTGGTCGAGGTCATCTCATTAGCCTTCTCGGCGAGGTGAGGTGTTACAGTTATTACATTCGGCACATTGTAAGCCGAATTCGGTTCGTGAACTTTGTAAGAAATAGCAGCCTTGTCTTCAGGCTCGAGAACCCAAGAGGCCGAGACGCGTTCCTTTCTCGGCCGCAATCGCAAGACGCAGAAGTCAGTAGCGCGACCCAACGCAGCATCATCAAATTTACTCCTCGGCCGAGCTTCGGCCGACGAGTTGGCACGCCCCGCAATCACCGAAGGACGTAGTTAGCTTAGAATATATTCGGCCTGCGCGCCACGTAGGCTTTGTAATTTCTAGGGTCAACATTTTGGCACGCCCGGTGGGACCCAATGCTAAACTACGAAGTTCATGCCAATTGAAACACGATCGGTAAAAAAGAAAACAGCTATGGGAAAGTCGACAGCCGATTTACCGAGTCAGAGCATAGGACAGAGTGTGCCACATGCGCAGAATCCCCTCAGCGTTGGTACACCTGAATCCACGAGCGCGACTCGCCGAGAGAGAGAACTTAATCTCGGCGGTCAACTCCGTGGTTTAGAGATCCCTAACAGAAACACGTGCGTTCTCAATGAAGGGATAATAGAGGAATGTGACGAGGATGGTGGTGAAGGATCAGACCCACCAACGAGGTCGTTTCTCCGAAAGCGACTGGACGAGCAGTCTCGGTCAGTCGAGCAGACGTTCAGTCGAGGCATTGACAAGCTGCATGACGCGATACTTAGTGCCAATGATCGGCAAACCAAGCTGCTCGAAATGCTGGTTAGCCAAGTTGGTGGCAGCAGGCCTTTCGATCTTCGCCAACCTTGTTTACCAGAAAACAATCCGGCACCGATTGTACCGGTCGGGCCTATTCCTGCCCTGCTCAAACCAATTAACTTGGAGAAAGGAGGAGGGTCGAATAGTAGGTCAGACGGGACCGACCAGAGGGTCGAAGCAACACCTGTTGATATGACCGAAGTTCAGCGGATGATTGACTCGGCCATGAAGAAAGGGCCGAAGTTTCCTAAGTTTATTCATCCGTACCCAGCTTACGTGGAATCGTTTGGGTACCCGAAGGGTTTCAAGATCCCAGATTTTAGTCTTTTTGCCGGTGAATCGTCTTTATCTTCGTTGGAGCACGTGGCTCGTTTCACTGCGCAATGCGGAGATGTCAATAGTGACTTTCATAAGTTACGGCTATTCAACTTCTCATTGACCGGCTCGGCATTTGCTTGGTACATTAATCTACCCCCCAATTCCGTCCAGAACTGGGAAGAGTTGGTCGAGAAGTTCCATGAGCAGTTTTATCGACCAGGGATGGAGATGTCAGTTTCTTCATTAGCAAGGATGGCTCAGGCATCTGATGAATCACCAATGGACTATCTCACTAGGTTCAAATCGGCCCGGAATTGGTGCCGAGTGCCCTTACCCGAAGTCGAATTCGTCAGGCTTGCTTTGAACAGCCTCGACGTCGAATATAAAAAGAAATTCCTGGGGGCAAACTTTCGGGACATGTATGAATTAGCCCAGCATGTTGAACAGTACGACTACTTGCTCCGTGAGGAGAAGGTTTCGAAAACGCCATCTCGGGGGACGTTGTACAAAAATCCTACTGTCAGCTATGCGTCAACCAAGGATGAATGCGTCAGTGTGGATGCGGCCGAGATAGTGATAGATAAGCCATACGTTTGTAAGGCATTAACTCAGGTTGATTCTAGAGAAGTCAAAAGTCGCTCGGCCGCTGAAGGAGTGTTGAAACCATCAAAGGTCTATACTTTTGATATTACCAAGGCTGACGAGATCTTCGACCAACTGTTATCCGCAAGAATTATCAAGCTTCGGCCCGGTCACAACATTCCTAAGGCCGAAGAGCTTAAAGGGAAGGTGTATTGCAAATACCACAATTCAAGCAAACATACGACAAACAATTGTGTCGTTTTTCGCGACAACGTTCAAAACTGGATTGATAATGGCAAACTGAAATTCCCCGAAAAAAAGATGGGTGTGGATACTGATCCATTCCCCACGGCAACAGTAAACATGGTCGACGCGTACCTACCCAAGGACAAAGGGAAAGGCAAGGCTAAAGTGGTTGAGACACAACGCCCGCGGAATCAGAATGTTCGGCCACGGTTCATGGCCGATTTTCGTTCAAATAAACCACCTACGGCTTTAACGGGACCCGCTATTGTCAAATCTATGATGGATTATAGTACTGATGAAGATAGTGGAACGGCGGTTTTGTGCAGGAAATGTAGAGCGAAGGTCGACAGTGAATCAGAGGAGAAGCCTTCTTCGGAGCCTGTGGCCGCAACTCGGCAAAAGGTAGCCAATGAAGGCCACCATCACGGGGTTTTTGAGAGGCTCGGTCCTAAAGTACGGATGGATGATACACCCCCGGTCAGGCGGCGCCTTGATTTTGATGCTTCATTTTATGACGATGATTACTATAAGCGTAATTCTAGCAGTTCAGGATCATCACGGAGTCAAAAGACCTTCAAGCCTCCCGAGCCTAGAGATCAACGTTGGTATACATACCATTCTTCGAAGGGCGTTTACACTGCGTTGTCCAAATCTCAGAAACGCCGGCATCAACGAATAGATTGCATGGCTCGCCGATAAGCAGCCCAAGAAACTTCGGCCCCTAAGTGGCGACCGAAGGATACAGTTGCCACTAATGAAAAGCGACCACGACCACCTTCACGGATCAAACGGCTCGATCACCAGGTCGAAGACTGATTGAAGAAGCTGTTGAACATTTCAAAAAGGCACGAAAGGCAAAGCAAATTATCATCCCGCTAAGCTATACAAGAGCCTTTGGTCAAAATTCGACGGAATTTGCACCCCCCGTTCCTTGGGGAGTCTTTGGAGTATATGCGAGAATTTCATAAGGAACATTCGGCCAACGATTTGTATTTTGCCGAAGGCATGTCAGGACACCATTGATCTTGTCTTGACTTGTCCGGATGCTGAGCGGATCATCCAGAAAGACCTCAGATCCAGGATTGAAAGCAAGGTTCCAGCACATACGAGAAGCTCGTGTCTTTGGATTTGAAGTTGACCCGTATACCGATATCGATGTCGCTGACCTTCCTTTCTCGCTAGAGGACCTTCAGTATTTACGGTATCACTTTGAAGTAGTATTTTCGGCGGTTTCTTCTTCTCGGCCTTACGACCGATGAAATCGCCCGTATTGCCCGTCTGGATGCTTATCTCGACACTAGGGATGCTCGGCTACACTACCAGGAGCAGGTTCAGGTCTTGACCCCAAGCTCATTGTCAATCTCGACCTTACCTGAGGCGGTCACGCAGAGCCAACAAGTGGCCGAAGCAGCTCCGCCGAGTGACATTATTGACGGAACGGAAGAATCTCGTTGTCCGACTCTGACGACAACTGAGTCCGTAGTCGCTAACCAACCGAACGAGGAGGGTCTCGACCAAATGGGCCCGTCAGTCCTGGATAATATGGAAATTAGTATGGTCCATGTATTACCTGCCGATTTTCAATCAAGCACAGCTCAACCAAATTTCCTCGATGGAGATGTGGTTGTCGAGGAACCTGGCCATGTTGATTTTATATCGATTGCTGAAGGCGAGTCAACAGCAAAAGATGATAGTCTAAAGGCCGCTTTGGCCGAATTGTTCCCTCGTTTATCATTGGCCAAGCTTCACCATTTAAAGCCATTGTATGTAACGGCACACATCGAGGGATATCCGGTTTCTAAAGTTTTTGTCGATTGTGGAGCTACTGTCAATATCATGCCCCTGAACATCATGAAGGCCTTACGCCGTTCAAATGACGAGCTTATTCCGTCAGGGATCACAATGAGTAGTTTCGTCGGCGATAAGTCCCACACCAAAGGTGTGCTTCCGTTAACTGTGAATATTGCCGGTCGCACCCATATGACCGCCTTTTTCGTGGTTGATTCCAAAACCGAGTATAATGCACTGCTCGGCCGAGATTGGATTCATCAAACCAGTTGTATTCCTTCCTCATTGTACCAAGTGCTTGTCTTTTGGGACGGCAAATCGGTCACTGTTCATGGCCGATAGCCAGCCCTTCGAAGCCAACATGATTCAAGCACGGTATTATGACGATCACGTCGGCTATATTACGTTGCAAGGCTTCAATGAAGAGGGACGGCCGACTCGGATTTCCGTTCAGAAAGCTATCGAGGTTAGTGCCGAGACTGTCCAGCAGGATTCGGCAAGACTCGGATTAGCTAACTTTCTCCCCGAAGCCGATGTTTGACACCGATCGGGAAGCACGCAGGGCCGCGGTTTCATTTACTATGGA